ACATCTTACTTCATCCTCTCTTCATAATCAAGTGAATGACGCGAATCATCTACCAAGTGATGATTGCTTTACTTCTGGGTTGATGAGAAATGCTAATGGCAGGAGTACTAGCTCTGCTTCTGGTTGTAGCATTGGTAACGGAATGACCGATAATCGCTCCCCTCCACTTCTTGGCATGGATAGAGTTGGCTTGCCTGATGCTATCCATTCCTTTGACGAATGCCTTGTCTCAAGTGCCAAACTTTCTGAAGGTGGCAGATCAATTAATAATGGTGTCTCTACTGTTGGTGGAAACAGTAGGTCCTACACTTACATTTGTAATTGCATCAATCCAAATTTATATTTATTATTTGTATAAATTTTGCTTTAGATGGAGCCCCTGGTGGTTCAGGAGGAGGTGGTTCTGTTACTAGTGGTAGTGTCGGAAGAGGAGACGCTTCTGGTAGTCATCACAATATCGGTCTTGCAGGTGCTGGTGCGTTAGGAGGTAGTAGTGGTGGAGGTCCAGGAAGTGGTTGGAGTGGTGGATCTTCCTCTTCATCCTCAATGCAACAATCCCAACAGCATTTGGTTATTTTTGAACCACCCTCTCGACCTAGTCGAGGCACTGAAGGTCGTTCAATTACACTTCGCGCTAACCATTTTGAAATTCGCATGCCTAAGGGTTTCTTACACCACTATGATGTGACCATTACTCCAGAAAAATGTCCTCGCAGGGTAAATCGGTAAGGGGACTAATTATAAATCAGCTCTAATCTGGTATTATTTGAAATTCGTCTTTTCGCTTATATCTTTCTAGTTCCGTTGGAGTATATTTATTCCTATACATATTTATTTTAGTATAAGACTTTTTATGTTGTATAATTAGAATTTAAAATTGCCTAATAAACTTCTAAGTTTAGTTTGACACAGGTAAAATACTTTTACCATATTTTGATTATATTTCTCTCATATCCTTTGTATATAATATTACTTAATAGACATTCAGCCGGTTTTCGTATCATTATTGAATAATAAGCTTTTGCATTTATTATTATTTATCATTTGTTATTTAATTTTTTTAGTGAAATTATAGAGACGATGGTAAACTCTATGCACTACCAAAAATACTTTTATAACCAAAAGCCGGTGTTTGACGGCCGACGTAATATGTATACTCGTGACCCGCTTCCAATTAGCAAGGAGAAGGTGGAACTCGAAGTGATGTTGCCTGGTGAAGGCAAAGATCGCGTATTCCGTGTGGCCATCAAGCATGTTTCTGAAGTTTCTCTTTTTGCCCTTGAGGAGGCTTTAGAAGGCCGCGCAAAAAACATTCCACAAGATGCTGTTCTCTCTCTTGATGTGATAATGAGACATTTACCCAGCATGAGGTGGGTTCCATTTAGAAAGATGATCCTGAGTAAATTAACTGTAAAATCATTAGCTGATTTACTCATTTCTCTATTGTTGCAGTTAATATTGATGTTTAAAATAATTTTATGCTCCTTAATATTAATTTCCCCCTTGATTATACAAAAGATATTCTGAAAAATATATAAT